TTAAAGGATAATATATAATATGTCGTGGAGTTATTTGCATGAGAGAACCTGGCGGGACTTCGGGTGAGAAACTGTAAATCGTTTGACCTTTGCTACCTTTTGATGTATAAGAGCCAGAAGCAGTAGAGCAATTTACTAATATTGTATTTACTTCTGTTATATTTGATGGCAGTTCACTGTCATATGTAATAGGCTGATCAAGTGCAGTGTAAGTTTTTTCAGTAAATCCTAACAGTTGTGCAATACTTCTTTCTCTTGGTTCAAGATTGATTGCTATATTTTTCAAAGTTATCCTAGTTCGCAATGTGTTATAATTTGCTGCTAATTCAAAATTATCAGCCACACCGTTAGCTTTTGTTATGAGCTCTTTGATCGTCTTGTTTAGATCTTCAATATTATAAGCTCCTTGCGGAATTTTTATTTTTTTTGTTGTAGATATTGTAGGTGTTGTAATCATAGTAAAATACATTTCATCGTTAACATCATTTTTCACGTTAGGTATAGCATTCCAGCAAGTACAAGAAATTAATCCAATTTCATATTGTTTTGTAGGATCTAGTTCTATAGGTGGAATATAATTTACTGAAAAAATTTGCGCTATCTTCTGTAGACTCGCTAGAGTTTAGTAATAATGTTGTTTGCATTCCTTTAATATTATATCATTTTACAAAATTAAGTCGCCGCGATTAAGTCGCGGTGTAAAGTTTCATATTCGTTAGATGTTAATAATTCACTCGATCTTAGATGATCAAGTATGTCAATGATTTCATTATCAAGTTCAACACTAACATTCCCAGCTTCCTTTGATGATATTAATAACATTAATCTACCTATCATTTCAGTAGTTGAAGTAAATACTTTTACACCAGTTCCTGTTTTTTCTTTTCTATATTTTTCTACACGAGATTTATCGAGTTTATCAAATTTTCTTTTAAAACTCCACCCTTTACCAAAAGGTTTTGCTCTGCTATTTTCTGCTGTTTTTTTAAACGTGAGAGCAATGACACCCTTTCTCATTCTTTCATAAAGTGGAATCATATTATTAATCTCTGTAACCGTGTTTAATTCATCTTTAGCAGCAGCTCCGTCATTAAATATTACATCAAATTTATCGATTAATGCTTGATATTCTGCATCAGTCCACTTGCTTATATCATCAATACCCCTTATATTTTCTTTGTTAAAAAATCATTCATATTCACTAACCTTTTATCTCATCATTTGCTTTTTTGTATAAAATGAAGTCTTTGATCTCCAACCTCCATAAACCTTACAGTAAGATCACCGACTCTTTGTTGCTCCTCTCTGATATCTTTTATGTCTCCTGATAAATTTGTTATAATATTTGTTATTCCTTGCGTTGTTAACTCTGCTAATCTTCGCTCAAGTTCCAGCGGATTGTTTATCAATCGATCTGTTTCTGCTTGTCTAGCCGCAGGATCAGCTATATTTGCTGTAAGTGCCTCAATCAGTTTTCTCTTTTCTTCATCAGATCTAGTAACAAGTTTTGCAGCAGCTGCTTCCTGTTGTTCTCTAACAATTCCAACCAAACCTTTTTCCTGTAGTTGCTTAAGTTCTTCTTCTGACAGTGGTTTAGTTTCAGGTTGTTTACCTAATAATGCTTCAGTAACCGGCTTGAAAATTGTAGCTGTTGTTTCTGTAGCAGTTACTTGCCCACGTCGCGCTTCTTGTACTTTTTGCTTAAGTGATGCCTGAGATTGAGCAAGTTTTTTTAGATCTTCTATGTGTTGTCTGTATCTTGCTCGTTTGTCCATTATTATAATTATAAATTTTATAAAATTGAAACGCTTTATTGTAAGTAAGTGTTAATACAACAGCGAAACATTTTAGTTGGATCATTTGTAAGTTTATCAAATAAGAAAAAGTTAAATTTATCTTTTGTAGCATTACGGTAAAGTTCAATAAACTTATCTTTTGTCACGCCACCGCATTGCTCGCTTGCAATATTTCTAACGTCAACATTATCCAGTCCTGGAAATAAAATAAAACAACCCGTATTTCGCCTAATAAACCTATCAACATTATAAAATCCTTGAGCGAGATAAACAGAATTACACTGTTTGTTACGGGATAGTGAAAAATATGATCTTATTTTGTTCATCTCCATGTTATTTAGCGGAATATCATCAAAAACTACTATCTTATGTTCATCTGCATCAAGTTGATTGACTGGAATAAGATCTTCTGGCTGCCTAATTATAAAAAAATCTTCACCAGCTTTAAGATCATCACGAAGCTTTTCATTATACTCACTTAATAACTCATACTTATCTTGCTGTGGATTGATTGTGTAAATATAAACTCTATCGTAGTTAAAATTATCACCAAGAAGCAAGTTCATAAGCAAATTTGTTTTCCCCGATCCAGTTCGCCCAACAATAAGATAATGACAATCAGGAAGTTCATTATTATGTTTATGCTTCACTAGTCTCTCTGTATCAAAGTTTAGTATCGACGATTTTGCCATTTTGTATAATATTAAACTAGTGTTGATAATTTTATCTAGGATAGTAAATAATGAGCTACTATACAAAATTTGGAACACTATTAGAAGATTTATCCACAAAACGTTTTAAAGGTGACTTATCCAAATATGCAACTCTTGATCGGCTCAAAAATGAAATCAATAATTTACTAAATCTTACCAGCGTAGATCCAGATGAAGTTGTCATTTTCCAAGACAAAGAAGGACGATTAAAGACGAGTAATGTAAAACTGTCAGATGTAGTTGTACGAATACTGCTGCGATTGCTAATAATATCGTTACTTTTAACAATAGGTAATATACAAGATTCTGGTAGGTCAGTTAATGATTTTGTTAAAAAAGATGGTGATGTATTTAGTGGGAATATTGTTATGAAACAAAATAAGATTACAGATCTTGGAAACCCAACTGAGGATGGGGATGCTGTCACTAAAAAATATGTCAATGATTGGGACGCTTAATTACTAATGAAATCACAGCACTCAAAATGAATTTTACCAGTCACGTGAACACATTTTCAAGTTTTCGCAGAAGCATAAACAAAATTAAAGATGAATTTTTTGGAAATCCATCAAATGTTGACATTACACTCGCTAATATTAACAAAAACTCACTCAATGATATTATTAGTGGAATTCCTAATATTGTTGAGAAAACAAATATGATTAAAATACCTCACAAACAGATTAAAAATATTGTGTATACTGTTGCATCTGGGTCTAGTACATGGACGAGGCAAAATAATTCTATCAAATACACTGCAGAAGTTACTGGTATGTATAGATTGTCAGTGTTTAGCAGTGCAAAGTTTAGAATATCTACCAAATATCTATCTCGTCATCTAATGAAGACTCATCTGGAGTATTATCTGTAATAATAAACCAAAATTCTGAAGAAGAATTTGTACTTGAGACCAGTTTGATAAAACTTTAAAATTAATAATTTTTCTCTGGTGTTTGGAATTTATAGCTGAACAACCAGCTCTTATTATGGAATTAACCAAACATAGGACTATGTGAACTAATATTATAATGAAAAGAAGTATAGTTGATTTCAATCATATTTCAAAAGATATTCCAAAACAAGATGTGGACGCACTAATACAATACTACAAATATTATCACAAAAAACATTGGTGCGTTAAAAAATGTTATAAATACTACAACAAGATCCTTCGAGTAATATCATATCTACCATTGTTAATGACCAGTTCTGGTATAATTTCAAGTGGGATATCGTTAAATCCCTTTTTGTTAATTATATCTGGTATTGGTGTTTCACTTACAGCGGCGTGTAAAAAAGTAGAACCAAGACTTTTGATAAAGAAGCATGGTGTTTAACATCAATTAAAACTTATAAGAAACTACTTGATCACATCCGGTCTTACCTACGAGGAGTTAAATATAATATGGATGATTTATTACGTGAATTTCGTATTATTGACAATATGTTAACAGACATTCTACCAATGAGGGTTAGCAAGTATGAAAAAAAATATCATAAAAAATATGAGTAACGTAAAATTTTATCTAAACTTAAGATATAATATAACTAAAATAATATCATTTTCATTCTAATGCTAGTTTAATTTCCACCTTGTTAACTGAAACATTCTAATGCACAGTTTAATTTTCATCCTGTTATCTTGTGGTAAAACTCGTTTGCCGTCTTTAGAATAATTGTATTCCACACATGCGCTGTTCTAACAAATTAGTCACCTCTGTATCAGAGCTTATCGCATTCCAACACCTGTTGTTTTGTTTGGTTACAAAATACCTGTTTACAGGTAGTAGTAGGGGGAAAAAAAGAGGTGGGGGAGGGTGAGTCAAAACCCTGTTTTATTTTGGAAAAAAAGGGGGTGGGGTGGGGGATAATTTAGGACTATAATTTATACTTGTTTGGAGGGTTAAAAAAACAAAGTGAGTTGAAAACCTGGTTTTCCTCTAGGGTGAGTTGAAAACCTGGTTTATTTTGGAAGAAAAAGGGGGTGGGGTGGGGGATAATTTATACTTGTTTGGAGGGTAAAAAAACAAAGTGAGTTGAAAACCTGGTTTCCTAATACTACTTATATATCAATTAAGACCAAGTACATTCTCTATTTCTAATATGAGTTTTAAATGTTAACGGCACAAACATACATTTCTTACCCATTTTTAAAATGCGATGTTAGTTTCTGTCTTCAAAACACGCGATGTGCCAATTTCTATTTAAAACATGCGAAACCTAGCTATGTGATGTGATGTGATTATGATTTTTAACGTAGCTTTAACAATTTTTCAGTCATATCGCTACGATGTCTGCAGTGGGCAGTTTATAGTGATATATAGCACTGGGGCATCATGCCGCAGACATGTAGCATCATGCGCAGTCATGTAGCATGATGTCCCACCCAGTCACATTATCCTGATACCAGGCCAACCAGTCCTAACACTAACCTCTTAACGCTGAGTGTCAAGCGAGACAGCTGTTAGTACCATTTTTGTAAGTCTTTGGTATGACTCGACAGAGATCGAACCCACGACTTCCCGCATCCGAGGCAGACGCTCTAACCACTAAGCCACGGGAGCGGTTACCTATGTGTTTTATGAACATTTAAAATTACAGACACGTAAATATAGTGTCCTATGGAAATTTAAATGAATGGGACGGTATGGACACTCAGAGAAAAAGGGGCGGTGTAGTATGGATTTCCCACAGAAATATGTTTATATTTTTTTATATAATTTTTTAAAGACATGGTTGCAATTTTATAAATTTGCCATTGTGTTATCTTCGTTTCAAATTTTAAGGAAGGAGTGAATATTTTTTTAAACTACAAAATTGAAGAACATTGTTGCATGCTTTTGTAAAGAATAACGGATATTATGAACAATCACACGCAAGCGAAACTGGTGGTCACAAGCGCGCGCACACACACACACACACACACACACATACATACACACACATTCACTCTCCCGTGAGAGAGATTCATTAGGATCTCTCTCTCTCTCTCTCTCTCTCTCTCTCTCTCTCTCACACACACACACACACACACACAATTAATCAATCAGTTAGCTGACCTCATTAACTAATCCAATGAACCATGCTAGGTAAATTGGCCATCTTTTAGAGAGCAGACGACAAAATATACGCGACTTTTAGTGTGGTCCTTTTCTGTAATTAGTATATAATTGTGCAATTCCATTGTGTCTCCATCTTTGCTAACCAAGGTTCCGATAACCTACACCTTAGCGGATCGAACAGTTATAGCCTCGTGCATTGTACATCGGCCAAAAACGGTGGTGTCAGTTGACCTAAAAAAGGATAATTTGTAAGTTTAACATTGAAAGTATGACTATGTATCATAGAAAAGCCATTACATGTCTGTTTGGGTGAAAGGTATACGTTTAAACACAGTTCGGCTCTGGAAAAGTGCTTATTTATCAGTCCATTCAAGTTGTGTGTTCCCCTTGTCTCAAAAAAGGTAGGAATATGTTTCAAATTTGAACAACTTAATTTTGATTGGATGCGGCGGCTTTCCGCCGCATCCACTGAAATTCACAGACCCGAAACACATAAATATCTATTCGATATGGCACCGGGTCACAATTAGCACTTCCAGTTCTGTACCCACGAATGTAGTTCTAGTCTATTTTTAGAACATTATTTTCATTTTCCTCTCATTTTGGTGGTGATAGAAGAGTTGTTTTGGTGCATTTTTGGAAGGGATTTAAAGGTAATTATTTATTCTTGAGAATATGAACTTATATTATGGTTGTTGGCGTGTATTTAAGTGACAGTGCACAGTGAGTAATAAGGCATTGGTGATGATCTGGAAGTGAAATCTGTGTTCCATTGCATGTTGCTGTTTACAATCCAGCCTCTCAATAAAATGCCGGTGAACCCTTGACAAGAACTTCGCCGTGAAGTCATCTTTGATGGTATTTTAGATTAACTTTTGTTTCCGATGGTATGTATCACGATACTTTTCATGGCTGAATAAGTACAATGGAATAGTTAGTCCTGTCGCCAGTTTTAAATTTGGCAATGACCAAATTTCAGACATATCTTTGGCAGCTTTTGAATTTTGCTCCGGAAATTAAAGTGTTGATAATCGATATGTAGATTGAAAGAAAAACGGACAAAAACATTGAAAACGTTGAAACTGAAGAATAGTAAATTTACGTGGGGCTCGTGCGCACCTCTGGTGTCATAGAGACATGTTGAAAGGTTTTACAATTATCATACGGTTACGGAATTGTGAGAAACAGGGATGATGGAAAGAACCAAGTCACATATATCTTGCCAACTTATATTTTACTCAGTAAATCTGACACATTTAATTATGATCGTCATAAATTTTGTTCTTTTTTGGGAAACAGTTTTAAATTAATAATGATTATTGATCTATTAAAGAAAGAAGATCGGCCCTTCTCAAACAAGTTTACATTTAAGAAACTGTCTCCTAACAAAGGTTTCACAATGTGATGAAAAGACAATATTTTGAACCAAGAGAAAATTTTATATAACGCTGTTGCAGTATTCCATGTAAATGGTAAAAGAACTTGTCTAAAATATCAGGCAATATATTACAAGTTTTTCTTTTATAATTATGATTTGTTATAAAATGCCCAGGAAAAGTTCACTAAGACCAAATAAAATGTACAACCAGTTCCATAAGGTCAGTGTATGTGCGTAGGTAGGGAAATAGCAATTATAGTATAGCAACTTCGTTATCTCAAACCCCTACATGTTTGAATAAATATTGCTTAATTTCATGCAGTAACATTTTAGACCCTCCAACACACACACACACGCACACACACACCCACCTATATGCACACCCACACCCATCACCAAGGTAGGTCTAATTCTAATTTACAAGCGATTATTAGATACATAATCCTCACATAATTTGTTTTTGTTTACCTCCATCGTTTCTCACGAAAAGACGTCTTAACCAAGGAATGGTGTAACTTACAAATGATTTTGCTCAAATCTGTTTCCTTTCAAGCGGATATTAAGACTGTGTTCCTTCTGTGGCTCTATGTCTATTGAACCTATCCTGACAGTAATATCTTAGTGAAATAATTTTTTTACTACATCTTCCCTATCACGTGGAAGTGACGATCTATTTAAGCTGAATGATAACAACCTTTTCAACGGCATGTAGTCGTGTATCCAGCTCAAAGCAAATAGGATTGAATAAGGCAGAATGAATGAAAAAATTGAGAAATCTGAGAAAATGGTCAGGTAACGCATATCATATTGGTTCTGAAAATGAGTTTGGAATAACACTTGATTTTCATATACTAATATAGTACACTATTTCCTTGTGCTCCTATTCGGGATTTTAGATTTAACATTACACTTTTAAAACGTATGAAGTGATAGCCAAATCCAGTACTATGACTTGGAATGCATACATCACTAGGGAGAAATCCAGTGCAGCTCTAAAAAGACAAGGCTTAATTAATTGGAAGGGTGTCTTGATACTGTGTAATGTGAATGGATAGAATGTTCCATAAATTTATTTAGTTTGGTAATAGAGAAAATCTTGGTGACAACCATAATTTATTTAAAGAGCTTTCACTTGATACAACAGCTTTTATAAATCACAAAGTATTTTGATGTACAATAAAAGTTCAGAGAAATTAGTAACGCAAGTGTTGAGAAATTGATCACTGACAATCATAACATCTGGTTCAATTTAAGAAGTACATGCCATGGCAGATTAAATGGTAGCGTTCTTAAATTAGCCAGTGTGCAACAAGGTATCTACTTTCAATTCAACAGAAAAGAAAATGTAGATGCTCACAAAATATAGGAGTTTTGTGCCTGTGTGTATTTGCAAAAGAATATCATAATATGTAGTAACTTACCGTGCTTAAATAATTGCCGTGCTAAATCTGACATAGAATCAATACAATGACTTTGTGACATACATTTTGATAAACTTTCCAAATTTTATGGGCAGTAAGACTTGTGGTAGGAAGTGGATACTAAATGATGAAGGTGTAATAGTGATGGGTCCTGAGTAAAAGTGGATAAAATTAGATGTAATGTTCCAAGAAACCAATACTTTGTTTATAAATGATGATTGTGGAAATCTTGAGAACGTAAATAAAAAAAAAAAAATAGCCTAACTTAGCTAGTTTTTAGTAGTAGTAGTAGTAGTAGTAGTAGTAGTAGCAGCAGCAGTAGCAGTTTTGAGATAGCAGCATGGGTGACTGAGGAAAAATTTCTGCTATTGATGATTTTAGACAGAATGCATATTTTATGGTCGCGATATATAGTCAGAACAAACATTAATGGAAACTTTCTTCACAGAAAATGGTTTCATCATATGTGAAATGAAATGAGGAACTTTGAATGCATTGAAAACAACAGCAGAAACAAATTTAAATGAGATCTTGTGTTGTATTCATTTATTTTAAGTTAAAATAAACCCTAACATATAAAGTCCGGTTCAATTGCAAGATACTAAAGTGCCCTAGAGTTGAAACTACTTACGTTTCAGTCATTGAAAGGATTGTCATCATTAGGACAAAGATTTTTTTTTTTCATTTCGATGCGGTACATGTCATGATTGCATGACCAAAACAAATATCGATAATTTTCCTTTTTAGCAACCTTCTTTGTACATAGGCAGTTTTAGATTCGTTTTAATCACGCGTTCTTAATTTCATTGCAGTCCATCTTTTCATCTTTGTCAGTCTTGAATTAATATAGTTTTGATTTTAAACTACATAACTCTCTAACTGTAACGCTATGAAACGCAATCTATAAATGCCCATGAATTTTCTTATTTCTTTGTGAGATGCCAAGCACGTTGTTCTTGAATAACATCTCATAATTGTTTACTTTGTTGCATATTATCAAAGAAATTTACCGTTTCAGAAGGTATGCACAGAAAATATGAACCAGTTATATTTAGCTTCATTCTATCACCATCTGTCTTTCATCTTGCTATACAATAATTTGTATAGCTCTAGCTCAGCAAATTCAACGACTATTGTTTTATCGGTTTCATTTTCTTATTTTGAGACTGACAGGTCATGTTAAGATTCTGTTTGAGAATGGTCTATCTCTTTGACATTTTGCTTATTTGTTCATGTCTGTTATTATTTTTATTGTTGTTCTTTTCCTCAAATTCCACATCTGCTTACCAAATACGCAATTAAAGCATTAAATTTATGTAATGTATCACATACCTGGCTTTGTTTTTCAATGTACCCATAAGGTTTATTGTAGTTGGCTTTGTAAACATCAATTTAGTTTTGCATGGAAGATGATAATGTGTGTCTGTGGTTAAAGCGTTGCTAGTGTTAGATGATAGTCCTTAAATTTATTGGGTCTTTTAATCATATTCTCGTCTATTGATTTATCATCTTTCATCTAACGTTATTTACCAGCATCTCAAAGAATCATGGAGTTTGGGTACAGAATGTTTATTTTGGCTGAGATTTCTCATTCATCATTCGCATATAACTGGTGGTTGACTTAAACATACCTATGCGGTTTTATGCTAACTCTAAACTGTCAAAACTTAACTTCAAGTTCATATTTTGGAATATATATAT